ATGGATACACACTCCATATGTTCCAATTCTGGAGTATTGTGTGACAGTTGCGCCCTGGATAGTGTGTCAGGCAGCTCCATATCCTTTCCTTTCCTGTACCGGACAGTCAAATCATACCATTGGATGCGCAGGCGCATTCTCTGTATGCGCATGGGTGTGGAAAGCAGTGATTTCTTAAAAATGTCCTCCAGTGGTTTGTGGTCATTATACACAGTGACTGACTTTCCAAAGATATAGTGATGAAATTTTGTGCATGCATGGACGATAGAAAGCATCTCCTTTTCTATCTGTGCATAGCGGGTCTCAGCGTCGGTCAGAGACCTGGAGGAGAATGCAACAGGGTGATTATCCTGCAAAAGCACAGCACCTAATCCACTACTGCTTGCATCACAGAAAATTTCAACTGGCTCTGATGGGTCGTAGTACTTCAGTACAGGGGGGTGTGAACACAGTTCTTTGAGCCTTGCAAAAGCTATTTTCTGAGCCGGTTGCCACGCAAACTCCACATTGCTTTTCAGGAGCTGCCGCAGCGGCGCATCTTCCTCGCTGAGATTTGGTATGAATTTTGACAGATAAGTCACAAACCCCAAAAAACGGCGAACTCCTTCCTTGTCAACGGGTTCCGGCATGCCCCTGACTGCTTGGACCTTGGCTGGGTCAGGCTTCAGACCGTCTGCAGTCAGTAAATGGCCAATATATGGAACTTGGCTCTGCCGAATGTGACACTTATTGAAATTAAGCTTTAGGTTGTAGCTTGTTGCTCTCTCGATGACTTTGTGTAGGATTTCATCGTGCATCTTCACAGTGGGGGCCGCAATCAAGATGTCATCCATAATGGCCACTGCTCCCATAATGCCCTCTAGCATGCCATCCATGATCCGCTGATAGATCTCGGGGGCACATTTTATTCCAAACGGTAGCCTCAACCACCTAAACCTACCAATGGGTGTGTTGAAGGTTGTAAGGAATGATGATTCTTCATCTAACTCGATCTGGAGGAATCCCGACTTGGCATCGAGGACTGAGAATATTCGTGCTCCAGGCATAGATGACACGACTTCTTCAACGGTGCGCATGGGGTAATGTTCTCTTTTGATTACCTTATTTAAATCGCTGGGGTCTATGCAAATTCTTAGCTTGTCTCCCCGAGAGACCGCCACCATTGAACTGACCCACTCAGTGGGCTGCTCTACTTTTTTTATATAGCCATTTTCCTCCATTTCATGCAGTTTCTGGACAATCTGTCCCTTGAGTGCAGCTGGCTGTCTGCGCACGGGGTGGACAACACCTTTAGCATTGGGCTCTATTTTGATTGTGTACCTCCCTGGTAGAGTCCCTGTGGTGCGTATTAGCTCAGGAAAGTCACGAAGGCCTTGAGGAACAACGTCTTGTTCGAGAATGCCCTCCACAGGCGAGTCAGCCTCAGCTTCAGCAGCATTTTGTATGGAGTTCAACCTTGCTATCAAACCTAAAGCTTCAGCCGTGGCTCCGCTGAGCACACTTTCCTGTGCAATATCCACAATTTCAAACTCTGCATCAGTGGCACACTGTTTGTAGTGCACTGATAAATCTACGGCAGCGACTGGTTTGAGCTTATGATTCGAGTAGGAGCGCAACAGCTTGTTAGAACGCTTCAATTCACCAGTGTGCACGAGTTGCTGGTAGCTGTCAAGAGTCAAAGTGTTACACTTGGCACCAGTATCTATTTTGAACTGGACTCTCTGTGAAAGTATCATCAAATGCACAGTCCATTTGTCCACAGTTAATGCAGCTGCCGGAAGCACAACGTCTGTTAGGCTAATGTTCAGTATTTCATCATCAGTCTCCTCCAGCGCCTCTACATTCAGTGTGTGGACAGCACGTTTACGGCACACTGCCATCCAGTGGTTGGGTCTGTGGCAGTAAGAGCACGTTGAGCCCTTGGCTGGGCACTTGCCGTCGTTCCATTTGTGATCAGGATGTTTACCGCAGCTAGCACAGAAAGCTGAGGGCTTTGACTGAGTGAACTTGCGATCTGAATAGCGAATTTTCCTGCTTTGGCCAGAAGGCTTAGGTTGAAAACTTTCTGCTACAGTGGACACCTGAGAGCATGTAACATCATCTCGGACTATTTTCAATTGTTTCTGAGACATCTCATATTGCTGAGGGATTTCAATGGCTTTGGCTAGCGTTAATTCCTCTCCTTTGTCTAGAAGTCTTTCTTGCACTCGTTTTTCACGCACGCCCGCGATAATCGCGTCAATCAACATGTCGTCAGGGTCGGCATATGCGCAATCCATTAACAGTAGCCGTAAATCTTTAACGAAATGGTCGAAGCTCTCACTTACGTCTTGTTTCCTCTGCTTGAAACGATGGCGTGCTATCCTCTTGTTCTTCCTTGGTCTAATATACTTCTCAAACTTTTCTAGCACTTTTTCGGGATCCTCTTTCTCACCTTCAGCCCAGGTGAGCGTTTTGTAAATTTCTCTGCCTTGTCCGCCTATCCACGTACCCAGCCAGCCGGCTTGCTGCTTTGCAGTTAGTTCGGATAGTGGTCCATCAAAAACGAACGTAACGTGGCTCCGAAAACGATCAAATTCCTGATATAAATCCGCAGCCTCCCAGTCAATCTTCGGGTGCTCAAACTGTGGGGTAGCCATGCTACACTTCTGACACCATGTAAGATACTGGAGACAATAAAGACAGCGAGTGTGACTGCACGATAACTGTTTTTACTGAAGAACACAGAACTCTCTGTTGCTGGTGTTTTACACAAAAGGGAACTCACCCAGCCAACGTAACAGCGCGCTCTAGCGGCAGCACAATACATTACACAGACTGACGGCTGGGCGTTCCGTGGGCGTGACGTCTGAGGCTGAGACTAAAGGTGATGATACACAGGGCAACTTTTTGAGCAATGTTGCTGGGCAATCTTGCCGAGCGATTGTTGCTTGGGCACTTTCTCGTTGAAAATGGGCCATAAATTTCTATCTGGATAATTTAGATCGGTCGTGGTCCCTGTCTCTCATCTGGTTGCCCGTTGACGGCAACATTGCCCAGCAACATTGCCCTAAAAGTTGCCCTGTGTATCATCACCTTAACTGTTTGTTGACTTTCGCGACAATGCTGCAGCGCTTGTGGCCTCTAGGGGCACTAGACGTGAAAATTACAGGTCGAGCGCACCCTAGTGGCCAAAAATTCCACAGTGTGCCTTTAAGCTTTTGAGGTTTTTGGTGAAGTTTTAGATAGTAATTACCATAGAAGTATGTAGTAACACTTGAGTCATTACTAGTTACCATGATTCTTACATGAAAATCCAATCCTAAAGTGTAGAATCTAATCCTTCTCAAGATATTTGCACACACGTATATGAGCTAGGAGACATAAATGAAAACATATTTTTTTGCGAGGTAGGTTAAATAATAAAATCACTGTATATCCTCCTGAGACCCAGAAAAAAAAAGTTTTTTGAATTTAGTTTTTTTCCATGTCATCACACTGTTTAGAGCACAATAAACAAATGGTAAAAAAAACATATATATAAAATAATATTTTATTCATACGTTATGCTATGTCCTCTGTAGTGGACGCCAGGACTAAGTTGTTTAAAAATAAAATGACATGAAATTATATGTATAGGCAAAAACAATGGGATTTTTTTTTCAATCACCAATACATTTTGGGGTTTCAGGATTTTTTCAACCAAAATTTGTATAAAGATTATTCTCGACTATGTTATGAAAGAAATAATGGAATGAATTGATACACCATTTTACTTTTTGCAATATGTGGGTAAAATGGCCATAAGTTAATATTCCCATTCAATGCAATGTATCTATACACTGTATCTAATTGGCACATTAATGTGTTCTGGGAGCAACATTTAATGAAAGAATAAAGGGTAATAATTGGAGTAATAATTGGCAACATTTTAATAATAATATCTAACATTTCATAGGAATATTGATGTATAATTTATTTCCATATTCACTTGTTGTGTCTCCCAGAATGCCTGATAAACATGGTTTTAGTCCTGATGTCCTCTACAGTGGACACGTTTGAAATCAATGCCCTGTTCTGTAACAGAAAGTTTTTTGTTTTTTTTTAAACCCCTTAACATTTTCCTGAGATGTTGTTTTATGAAATACAATTTGAAAAGTAGTCCAATTTATATTATAATTACACTATATTATCATATTTCCATAAGAATGCTACATATGATCACTAAATTAATGTCAGACATTTTTAAAGACCAAGGAGAAGTTGTTTTCATGGTGAAACCTCCAAACATTTGGTATCTCTGAAAAGTCCTGAATGTGCTCTTTACAGGACACCCAGGTTGTGTCATGTGACATGTATGATGTCAGAGAAATTCACTAAAATATAATGTCTACAGTGGACAAAAGTCTATTCTTGGGTCCCAGGAGGATAGTATTTGGATGGCTGATAACTCAATATGTTCCAGCCGTCACCGTGACTCTGGCCAATTTTCTGGCATTCCTCTGGACTGGCATTGAATCACTACAGGACAAGTAAGGTCCCGACAACTGCATTTAAAAAGCCATTTCTTTAAAGTTATTCAGTTGATAAATAGTTCTCTAGGAGAGAGCATAGGCTAATTATTTCCCAAATCATAAGTCTGCTATTACATATTGATAAACCTTGTGTATTCGTTTACAGTAGCAGTTATTAATGTTAATGTAGTGCTAGTCATTTGTCCTGCATTAGTTATTGATTAGTTAATAGTGAACTACCACTTTCATCTGTGCGCTATTACTTACTAATTCGTTAATCAGAATTTCTTGTTAGTTAATAGTAGTTACTAGATTGTTAATATTGTGTTACTCATTTGTTCCTGTGTAGTTATTCATTAACGAAGGAACCGTATTCTAAAGTGTTACCGACAATCATGACTAAAAGTGAATTGCTTATAAGAACAGATGTGGCGGATACAGAATATCATAAGTGTTGAAATATGGATATTAAATGATAATTAAACAGATGTGAATATGAAGACTCACCTGATACAGTCAGTGTAACAGCATTACTGAACTCTGTGTGTGAGCCTGATCTCTCTCCTCTACAACTGTATTTACCACTGTAATACACATCAGCTGTGAAACTGAACTCTGCTGTTGTTGTATATGGATAGACAGTCTCTCCATCTCTAATCCAGCTGTATGTCCACTGAATGTCTCCTCTTCCCTGTATGACACAGGTGAGAGTGACTCTCTCTCCTCTGAACACACGCTGATCTGGCTTCACCTCCACTACAGGTTTTCCTGTATTAATACACATATGAGTAAATATTGATTAAAACAGCATCACAGTATCATGATCACTGTTATAATAATAATAATAAACTTTATTTTCTTTAGCGTCTTTGAAAGCTACATCTCAAAGCGCTTCACAAAAATAAGAAAATATAAAAGAGAAATACAACAATATAAAAGAAAATCATTCATAAAAGAGAAGTACATATACAATGCAAATATAAAATGTTATCAAAAGAGTTCCCTAAAAAAATGATATTGGAAAAAAATAATTAGTAATGAAAATAAAAAGTAATGAAATAAATCAAATAAAAGTTACCCTAAAAAAGTATGTTCTGAGTAAATCTTTAAACATTCAGAGATTGCGTGTGCTAATCTCAGCGGGCAGAGAGTCCCGCAGTTTCAGAGCAAATGAAGAGAAAGCCCTATCGCCCATAGATCCTAAACGAGTTGGCGGGACTGTTAAAAGACCAGCTTCGGAGGAGCAGAGATCACGCGCTGGGATGTACGGGATTAAAAGTTCTGACAAATATTGAGGAGCCAGGCCATGCAAAGCCTTATAAGTAAGCATGATCATTTTAAAATAGACACGCAAGCTGACAGGGAGCCAGTGTAAGGACTACAAAATAGGAGTGATGTAATCCCTAGTCCTGGTCCAGTCAGGATTCTGGCGGCAGAATTTTGAACAAACTGTAATTTGTTAAGAGTAGCTTTTGAAACCCCGGCAAGTAGACCGCTTCAATTATTAATGCGAGAAAATACAAAAGTGTTAATTAACAGCCACCGGAAATTATAGGACATAGTCTGGTAATGTTTCTAAAATAAAAATAAAATAAAAAAAATACTTTTTGACTGTATTCTGGATATGAGGATCAAAAGTTAAATAAGCATCAAATATCACCGCCAATTTTTTTTTATTTTGTTTGAAACTAAATTAGAGCCATCCACATTTAACCCTTTAAGTGTCAGCCTCTAATGCATACAAATAACACGTATGTGCGTTATAGCTCGCTACCACATCACAAATGGTGAATCTATCATTTTTTTCTTTATATTTAAACATTTTTCAGACCTTTTCGTCTAAAAAAAAAATTAATGGATGGTATCTATTGAACTATTGGCATGAAAAACAAACTGAGGTTCTAAACCATTCTTTCATGATTTTCATGTTCATCACTATTTCAAAATAAAGGTCTTAAAGTCAAAGACCCAGCTTTACGTAGCTGGTGGGGTGAACCAATGATTATAACCTCAGTCTTGTCACTGACATCCAATTTTTTTTTTTTATCTCAGAAATACATTGAGATAGAAAGGCAACAGCCACATTATCATCAGGTTGTGAATGTATGTAAATCTGAGTATCATCTGCGTAAAATTGAAAAGATAAGACCAAGTGATCTTAAAAGTTGACAGACTGGAAAAATGTAGATGCAAAAGAGTAAAGGGTCCAAAACTGATCCTCGAGGAACACAATATTTCACCACACCAACCTCAGACCTGCATCCATCCATCAACAAACTGCTTTCTGAAAGGTATAAACCAGTTTAGTGCAGTATCAGAAACACCAAAGACCATTTCCGGTTGATTTTAAGAGTGATCTACTGTGTAAGAAGCGCCACAGAGATCAACAAGGATCAAAATTGAAAGAGCCAGAATCCAAAACAATTAATAAATCATTCAGTGTTGTGGAATTTATGGAAATCAGATTGAAGGGGCTCGAAACGATTGTTTAAGGTGAGAGTGCCATTGATTGAGAAGCAACAATTCGCTCTAAAAGTTTAGCAAGGGAAGAAATTGGAAATGGGAATGAAGTTACTAAGATGATCAAAGTCTGTGTTTGCTTTTTTAGGTACAAGGGTTACAGCAGCAAGTGTAAATGCAGCTGGCACAACACCAGCGCACAGGGACTCATTTATAATACTCAAGACAACAGGACATAAAGAAGCAAAACATGACTGAAACAGACAAGTCAGTAAAGGATCAACAATGGAAGTGGGAGCTTTAATTTGTGAAACATCATTGCTAAGATAATGAACGTAGGCTATAGTGTAGAGAAATTTGAGAGAGAGATACCAGAAAAATGATGGAGTAGTGATAATGCATTTACAAATACAGTCAATCTTCAAGCTGAAGAAATCAAGGAACCTGTTACAAAGTGAGTTGAAGCAGACACATTTGAGAGCAGGGCCGTGCACAGACATTTTGAAGGGCAGTGGCTTAAACCAAAAAAGGGGGCACTATAAGGAGTTTGACTGACAACATACGGGTGACCCCCCCCCCCCCCCCATTTTGAGTTTGACCTATAAACTATCAACTTAGGGATTATTAGAAGTATATTAATTTAGCTAAAGTATTTGTATCAATACTATGTGTCTTTTGTGCTGGTTTTACCCCGTGTGTAGGCTACCTCCTTGCCACCACATACATTAATACGATTTTTAAACTAACAAGCCACCTTTATGATTTATTTTCACACAAAATCTGTTGCTCCATCAATTTTCAAACATATATTTTTCTGCAATCATATGTGAAAAGCAAATGTTATGTGTGCCTTTAGCCCCATTGTAACCTACAGTAGCTAATAAGGTACTATTCATTTAGATTAGTGTTAATTTTGAAAGGAAATTTTAAAATTTTCACTAAAATGCCATTTAGTTTTAGTCATATTTTAGTCATCTGAATTGTTTTAGTTTTAGTTGACGAAATACAATAAGGTTTTAGTCGACTAAATCTACAGTAGATTTAGTCGACTAAAATTTAATGGGTTTAGTGTTAAATTGTAATGCATTAATTTAGAATTCCTCTAAAACGTCCAAACCCATTATATATTCCTGTAGAAAACATCTATTAACCTGATAATATTCATAATTTTTAAAGTTTGAACATGCAATACAGAGACATATTTAGCACTGTGACATAAAATAATATCTTAAAATTAAAGTCTTACATACATCATTCTTTATTCTTTCAAGCAGACATATTTATTTGTATGAATTAAATATAATTAATCCTTATTAAAGCTATTAAAGAGCAGTGAATGCTTTTCTCTTTTTATTTTGTTGTTTGATTAATATTAAGTGCACAGACGGCATTATAGGTTTATTACGCACTGTCACTTTAAGACCGAGTGTGCAGATCCAATTGCACTGATGCACAACCGATATTCTCACAACTGTACGTTCTGTAAAGACATAACTGACTGCGTTTAAGTGAATACTCTCCAAAACGGACATTTAGACATAATGTTGTGTGTATTTGTCCATTCAGACGCGAAAGAGAGCTCAGTTCAGTCCTTGCACGCTGCTCTGTCTATGTGCAGGGCTGCACGCGTCGGGTTGTGTGTGTTTGTGTGTGTGTGTGTGCACGCACAGAAAAAAATACAGAATAAAGGCCATTGCACACTGCGTTTTTTCGTATTCGTGATTCGTTGGCTCTGAATTGTCAAAACACCATTCAAACTCCATTCAAACTGCTGGCTACGGTTCGATTAGATTTTTACCCGATTCGATTTTTTTTATGACGGACGAAAGTTTCGGAGGCAGTGTGCAAGTGTGATTGACATAACGTGAGGTCGTATTTATTTTTTAACGTGCGAAAATTCTGGAGCGATAACATAACGTTTTTATGGAAATCCTCTGGAGGGTTAGGGAGGGGGGCGAGAGGGGCACCTCAGCTGATGAGGGCAGAAGGGCAGTGGCTCTAGCCACCGGGCCACCCCCCTGTGCACGGCCCTGTTTGAGAGACTGTAATATTTGAGCAGTTTGTTAATGGAATGAAACCATTGTCTAGGGTTTCTCTGATAGTTTACAATTAACTGTGAAAAATAATCAGACCTGGCCGATACAATCTCAGACTTATATTCTAGTAAAGTGTCTTTCCAGGCCTGATGATGAACAGTGAGCTCAGACATACGCCTCACTTTCTGTCCAGTCACGTGAATGCTTCACTTTGCGTGTCGGAATATTTGAACCCAGACCACTAGCTACAGGGTTTCGGAAGTTTAAGTCCATTTACTATATCTATACATTTTTTTTTTTTTTTAAATATGCCTATGGCCTGTTACATGATCATATATTCTGTCATATTATAAACAGCATAGAAACCATAAAATAATAAGACCACCATTTACTTGCATCAAGCAACTCTGTTGGTATTTTTATAGTTAGTATTAATTGTTATATTTAATTTATTGCCACACTTTAATATGTGAATTATATTATCAGGAAACTGAACATTTAGCGTTGTCGGGCTTTTATCTGTGCTTAATAGATGAAACAACGGCGCTGTGCACTCGGGTTTGTGGCTGATATAAATTTGTCCTGCCAGAAGACGGCGCTGTTTCGACACTCTTGATGCTTCAAATCTTTTCCTGGAACAATCAGGAGAAAGCCTCAGTGCTTCATAAGGCTTCATTTGCCCATCCTTCCCAGCAAACATTTGGACGTGTAATGACCGTTGAAAAGACGTCCGTTCGACACGTCCCGTTATGGTTGAAAAATAGTTCCAAAATGGAAGTTGAACCGACGTCTTTTCTGGCCGTGAATTCCACGTCTTTTCTGGCCGTGAATTCCACGTCTCTTCTGGCCGTGAATTACACGTCTTTTCTGGCCGTGAATTACACGTCTCTTCAGCGCGTCCCTGGACGTCTAAATGCGTCATCATTTGTGTGTTTAAATGTGTTGCTGCATAATTTAAGTGTATATAAGCCTGCATTTAAAATAATCACACACATATTGTGTAACATCGTGAAAGGCAATCAAGTCTTGAGGTTTACACATCTTGACAAAGGTTTTAAAAAGTTCCAAAATTGGTCCAGTCAGACGGACCTGACCGTCAATAAAACGTTTCAATCACGTGTACATCACAAACAAGAACACATTATTTGTGGACATAAGAAAAAAAGCATGTTCTGATTTAGCAAATTTTATTGATCTTGAACAGCGAAAATGTCTCTTAATATTTTTTCAATGTTTAACATTTGTTAATCAAACTAAAATACCAATTACAAAATACTGAATTATTATATAAAGGGATAGTTCACCCAAAAAT